AGAGAATCACCTAAGCCCAAGAGCTGGAGGTTGCTGTGAGCTGTGATGCTATAGCACTCTACCGAGGGCTACAAAGTAAGACTCTGTCTCAAAAAAAAAAAAAAAAAGAAATAGTTTTAGAGGACAGTTGAAAAAAAGCATTTAACTGGCTCAGTTTTCTCTTATACTTAAAATATTATGTATGCTTCTGTCCTTCTTTCTCCCCTTGCTGACTATAGAAAATCTCTCATAGCCCGGTGAGTAGGTTGCCCACCAATTATGTACCCACTCATTTGGAAAAGATACAGTGCGTTTCCATTTATGTTCAGGCACATAAGAGTTCATTAATTCAACGGGTGGCTCTACAATTTCAGATTTTAATTTTTTTTCAAAAAAAGCTTAGTCTTACTTGTTTTTTACATTTTCTACTGAGAGTGATCTTTCTAAACTAAAAGACTGCCAAGGTAGTTTCCTTGAATGAGAGATTCCGATATTGCCATTACAAAGTACAGCAGTAGTATGCTTTGTGCTTTAGCATAATATGGAAATTAGATACAGTTTTTAAATGTTGTAAGCATCTGTCTTAAGTGACATTTTGACCAGCCTTTCAGACCAGTTAGTTGGAAATGCACTGTCACTTTTTCTGCATGCTTCGTCAGAGGATGTTCCAGGAATCCCTCAGAGATTCCCTCCCCATGAAGAAAAAGGAGTGTTTTATGTGGCTGAACACACAGTAAATCTGCTGATAGTTTATTCATTTTGAAAGTATAAGCAAAGAATTTTATTAGTATTTAAACATATCAGTACAGCCTCTAGGCTTCCTATTGATTTACTTTAAGCTTTCATGAAATTTATCCATTACTTAGTATCCAGGTTCAGATTTTCAAAGACTATATACAGAGAACATAAAAAGAGCAGATGGACTCAGCACCTATGGCTCAAGTGGCTAAGGCGCCAGCCATATACACCTAAGCTGGTGGATTCAAATCCAGCCTGGGCCCGCCAAACAACAATGATGGCTGTAACCAAAAAATAGCTGGGCATTGTGGCAGGCACCTGTAGTCCCAGCTACTTGGGAGGCAGAGGCAGGAGAATCACTTGAGCCCAGGAGTTGGAGGTTGCTGTGAGCCGTGATACTATGGCACTCTACCCAGGGTGACAGCTTGAGGCTCTGTCTCAAAAAAATAAAAAAAAGAGCAGGTGTTAAATTAGAGGGCCTTTTCGATTTTGTGAAGGGTTTCTATGTATATGCTATTATTTCTTTATCATCACGGTGTAAGGTAGATTCTAGTCGTCCCCTACTTTATCAGATAGGGTGCCTGCCTTCAGTTCGCAGGCACAGGGGACTTGCTATAAAACTATAGACCAGTCAATCCAAAGCTTTAGTTTGGTAGTCTTCCCAGTATATCACTCCTACTTCAGGGATTACATTTCTTAATTTCCCTAATTCTTTAATACCAGTAAAAATTGCTTTGAGTGTATTGTATGTATTTTAAAAGTTAGATTTCTAAAGTCCACAATTGGGCACTTAAATCTCACTTTTCTTCCTAGAATTCTGGCGATAGTAATCAAAATAAAAATCACTGTTTATGACATATTAGCTGTTACTTATCTAAATTTGAAGAATGACATTTGCTGACTGGGTGCCCATAGCTCAGTGGTTAGGGTGCCAGCTACATGCTCTGGGGCTGGTGGGTTCAAACCTGGCCTGGGCCTCCTAAACAAATAAAACAACAACAAAAAAAATAGCCAGGCGTTGTGGTGGGCACCTGTAGTCCCAGCTACTAAGGAGGCTGAGGCAAGAGAATGTCTTAAGCCCAAGAGTTTGTGCTATGACGCCACGGTACTCTATTGAGGGTGACAAAGTGAGACTCTATCTCAATTAAAAAAAATGATGTTTGCTATAAACAAACGCTATCTATTAATAAAACCTAAAGACTCTTATGTTTCTTATTCGTGTTAACAGCAGCGTGGATAGAAAGAAAAGTTGCTAAAATATAGCTTTCCAAAATAAATATGTTCCATGCTGATTGAATAGCTATTTATAGGATACATTAGTCATTTCTGAATAATGACAATAATAGCAAAGCATTAATGGACATCAGCAATCATGTGGCCCAGTCTCCATTTTCTAGATAAATAAAGTGTAAAGAGGTTTCAGTGGCCTGTTTGTGGCTTAACGCTAACTAACCAAGAGTAGAGCCCACGTCTCCTGACTCCCAGTCCAACGTTTACTGTTCATTCTCCAATGCCATGTTTCTCCTTGTCATACTAGGAATATTTCTAATATTTGTCTCTGTACTACTCATATACTTGGAACACTTGCTTTGTCTTGTCTGCGCACGTTCTCTGGCACATTACCATATATGCTCGTTCTATTGCAGTTATGTTAGTAGAACCAAAAGTTTGTGGTTATTCATAAGCTTTTTGTTTTATTTTATTAGAAAGCTGGAGCCTTGGAAGGTGTGCCAATATCTGGGGTAAGTTTTATCACCAAACATCTCCCCATCCCTACCCACTTCCATGCTGCAGCTGTCCTCCTCTATCTTAGTTCATCAGCTTGCCCTTTTATAAACTAGAGAAAACAAGTAAGAGCAGCACAACTGGCTAATTTATGTTCTTCTGTGACACAGAGTGGGCCATTGAGGATCTTTAAAATAAATGAATTCTAACTCTCTCTTCCTACACCTATTATCTCATGGGGGTATTAACAAGTGGGGAGAAAATGGCCAAATAAATGGAGGAAATGCAAGAAACATAAATAATCCATTCCTTGATAAATAAAGAAGGAAAAATAAATCTATACCTCTTCTTAAAAAGAAATTAGCGATATTGTCTTAGTATTCCTTATTGCCATTTATACTTTCAGTGTTTGGGAGACCAGTCTGCTGCACTGGTGGGACAAATGTGCTTCCTGGATGGGCAAGCCAAAAACACGTAAGTTTAAGAATCAGATTTAAGGGCGGTGCCTGTGGCTCAAAGGAGTAGAGTGCCAGCCCCATATGCTAGAGGTGGCGGGTTCAAATCCAGCCCTGGCGAAAAACTGCAAAAAAAAAAAAAAAAAAAAAGAATCAGATTTAAAACCAATGCTGTTTTTCTTTTTTGTTTGTTTGTTTTTTCCTGTTTGATGCTTTGACTAAGGAAAAGCTTTTAATGTTTATCCAGGCTGAAAAAGCAATAGATTAATAGTTCTAATATGGATAGGTAAATTTTTACCATTTGTTTTTCATCTCCTTCAAACAAAATATATTATGCCATATATAAACACACCGATGAGGCTTAAAAAGACCATAATTTATAAAACTTTATACCTTTTCTATCCCAGAAACTAAATTTTGGTTCAAAGTATTCTTGCCTGTCTGGGGGAGATTAGTGGGGGTAGCGGGACTGGGAAGAGGTGAAGAGGAGCCATAATATAATCTATAATTTTTAGCATATTATTCCTACCCAAGTCTTTCTCACTAACTATAAAATTATATTTCTGTGAGATTTTCAAGGTTTTTTCCTGGCTCCACGTTTTTCCCTTGACAAGCAGCAGAAAGAGTGAGAAAAATAGAGATTTGGTGTATTTTTTTCCTGATCTCATCTCCTTACTACTTACATGTAGAGTCTGGAGTAAGCCCCATATCTAAGAATAAGAAGGTGATTCACACTTCAGGATGAGAAAATGGATGTTCCAAGAGGTTAAGGGCTTGCCTAGGATCATAGCTTTGACTTAAAGGCAGAGCCAGATCATAAGCCCATGCCTTCTGAGACTAAGCCTAGTGTTCTTTCTTTCTGTCAGACCATTAACTACCCTTATTTGAAGGTAATCCTTTAAACACTGGGGGAAAAAATTACCTGTCAATGATAGGTATTAATGCAGAAACAAATATGCCTTAAAAACTGAAATAATACCAATAATTATAAGCTCAGTCGATGGCATTGTGTTACATTTTATGTTCCATGTGCCTGAAACAAAATATATCATTTAATCCACACAGCAGACCTTACTACTGACATTTTGTAGATCAAGGAAACTGAGAACTAGAGACAATGACTACTTTATGCAATGGCACATAACTAGTATGTGGAAGATGCAATGTTTGCCTTCAGATTCATTTCATTCCTTAGCCAGGGTGGCTAAGGATATAGTTGGGTGAGAAGAGATAGAGTATCTTGGGCTAATCCTTATTCAGAACAATGGTGCCTAAAAAACTGTTTATCGGGAAAAAATCGCCCTTGGTGTGTGTTTGCAAGAAATATTCAGCTGGTAGGATCTGTTGACTTAATGCTGACTGGTAGTAGCTTATTCTGGGATCCTCTGTTAGCCCCTGCTTGAGCACCCTCCCTTTACCCCCTGCTAGAATGTCACCAGCACAGCAAGGCCTGGGAGGAGGGAATCCCAAACTCTGGCAGAGCCAAGAGTGACCCTAGCAATCTTATCCCAACTCAGTTTAAAACCGTTTCTCTGGGGCAGCGCCTATGGCTCAAAGGAATAGGGCACCAGCCCCATATGTCGGAGGTGGTGGGTTCAAACCCAGCCCCAGCCAAAAACTGCAAGGTTAAAAAAAACAAAACAAGTGTTTCTCTGTGACCCTTACTGGTATCAGTTTGGGCTGCTATCTGCTTGGCACAAATCAAAACTACCCATGAATGTCCAAGTGCCAGACTTGTTGCAGAATCCAAAGTTCATACTGATAAGGCTGCCACAAAATAAATTCAGTTCTTCCCTATCAGCCACATTCCATCCTGCCTCTGATTATCCCACCACTGTTGTAATGCTCTATCTGGCAAAGAGAATGAGAAAGGTAAGCTTAAATAAGCTTCTTCTTTCAGATGCTTCTGTCACAGCTTTCCAGCTAGCCTCTCCCACACTGCACCTAGCCTCCTCACCCTGCCAGAAGTTTCTCAATTTATGACTGTACTGATGATAGAGCTAAGCTGGCCAACCGCATTGGTGAATGATTGTTAGTCATGGTGCTTCACTCCACGCAGATTAGGAGTAACAACTGTGACCGAACATAGCATCTGTTGTAATTCACTGGTATTTTATGAACACAGCCCTGGGCTATGACTCACAAAATGCTAAATACTATGCCTACATTTTTTCCATTAAGATTACACTAAGTGCCTTTTCTTCTAGACTGATTTTTTAAACTATTATCCCATAAAAGGCATATGGTATTTATTAAATTTCTGAACTTTTCTAAAACTTTAATGACTTATATTATACTGAACTACATGTCAGCATTATTAATGTTGTATCATTTGCTTTCAATAAAATTGTCATTCTCTCCCCGACTGTAGGTATGGAACAGGATGTTTCTTACTGTGTAATACAGGCCGTAAGGTTAGTTTTCTTAAATTAAAAGATTAATGAAAGTCTTTAATTTCATATAAATAATGCTGTAGCATAATTTGCTATTAAGTTACTTTTTAGTCTTCAACTTTTAATCTTTATGAGGGTTTAATTTAGAACTCAATAAAAATTTGAGTTGTTCTAGTAAGGCCCATTTTAGGTTCTTTGAATTTTGTAGGTATATATTGAATTGTGTCGTTGAGAAATTTGTGCTGGGACTTTGTTAATGCACATCTGATTTTTAATAAGGAATAAACTTTGTGCAGCTTAAATGGGCTCTTAATTCTGATCATTTTACTGTTAAGATTTATTTTTTAAATTGGTTTGAATTATTTTGTGCCTGTGTCACGGTAGTTTTAAAAAATATTTCCATGCTTTCTTTTCATTTTCTCCACCACTGAAATCTTGTTTTCTTTCCTACAGTGTGTATTTTCTGAGCATGGCCTTCTCACCACGGTGGCTTACAAACTTGGCAGAGACAAGCCGGTATTTTATGCTTTGGAAGTAAGTTCTTTTCCATCAATATGGATAATATGAAAAACATTCAAAGCTAATGAAAATTATAGTGTTTTATAACATCTTTTCTGGTAAAGCTTAATATAGAGGACTCAAAACATTCCATATTGTTCTTGGCACTTGATTGCATGCAATGAACCCGGGACTGAGCTGGGAGCCAGGACTCCCAGGAGACCTTGATTGTAGTGGTTCCTCCATTCTTATACCAATTAATTGTTTCACCTTGGACCTAATACTGAACCATTCTGCAATATAAGGCTTTTTATCTTTATAAAGTTTAATGAAGGATAGACTTGCTCTCTAACATTTCTCTTATCTTGAAAATTCTATGCTTTTTTTTTTTTTTAACTAAAATGCCCCAGTGTTCCAAAGGGGCCCTGAATGCAAAAAGACAGAGCAATTGTCTTCACTTGTCTCCCCAGAAAAATACATTTTATTTACATTTTGTTATGGAAAAGAAAGTGAGGAGATTTATGCAATTTATCACTGGAAACATTTGTTTGAAACATGTTTGTAGGAATGTGTCACTCTAAGTTTATAGGATGCGGTAAGTTGGTATTAGGAACAAAAGAAGCAATTCATAAAATCCAAGAATTAAAGCTCTTTTTGTCAAAGCAGATACATTTTTATGATTCATTTTGAAATGGCTGCTTTATAATATATGAGTGTATAATAGATTCAAAAACTTACTGAGGCTCATTTTCTGGAGTACCTGACAATAATTTGATTACAAGTTTGAGAGTTCTAGTTATAATTGAAGTATTTATTGGTTATCATGCTTAGAGCATGACGAATAATAGTTTATTTCAGTGCCCCACCCATAAACACTGTAATCGCTCTCTTCCTCCAGCCCCCTTTTCTATGGCTAGAAGCATGTATGAAAACATACTCTATGCACTAAAAGTATCTTAATACTTCTTAGAACTTAACATCCTACAAGCCTATCCATGCCCCTCTATCTCTATTTGCATCCTATGGAGAATGCTTAATAATACTAGGCACATAGGATAAAATACACTTAATAAGTGTTACCTATAATAATAATAATAATAATAATAAGAGGCTATCTTTTTTCCTTACCCAGCAAACAATTAGTGGTTTAGAATTATACATGCTTGAGACCTGGAAAGGGCCTCAGGTATAGGGGTCACCTGGTCTCAACTTCCCTCCCAAAATGAAAAACCTTTTCTTATCTCCTTTACTGATAGCCTTCCAATTTCTGTTTGAAGATAGCACCCAAAACTACTTCCTAAGAACACCTCTGGTATTGGACCAAAATTAGATGTTAAGAACATTCAAACACTGGGAGGCAGTTATATCAGTTTTTCTGTGTCTTCCTCCTCCAGGGTAAACTAGCCTAGTGCCCCAATCTCACATGGTTTCTAGATATATTAAATAATTCTCAACTCCCTTTGTTAAGTACATTGCAATTCATTATCATCTTCCAGAATGGAATAGAATATTCTTTTTTTTTTTAAGACAGAGTTTCACTGTGTCACCCTCCATAGAGTGCTATGGCATCACAGCTCACAGCAACCTCCAGCTCTTGGGCTTAAGCAATTCTCTTGCCTCCTCCCAAGTAGCTGGGAATACAGGCACCTGCCACAATGCCCAGCTCTTTTTTTGGTTTTAGTTGTCATTGTTATTTGGCAGGCCCAGGCTGGATTTGAACCCACCCACTCCGGTGTATGTGGCTGGCGCCCTAGCTGCAGAGCTACAGGCGCCGAGCCTGGAATATAATATTCTACGTGTACTCTGATGTGTACTCAGTCAAGTGTGATCTGTGCCTCTCCTACCATAAGCACTGCTTCTGCTACTCTACCCTGAGAGTTCATTAATTTAGACTAATAACCTCTTCATATTATTGGCCCTGGAAATATATGCTAAAAAACCTAGTTCTTTTTCAAATGAATCATTGTCAAACCAAGTGCACTCCATTCTGTGTTTGTGCAGGAGATTTTTTTATTAATCTAAATTTAAGTCTTTGTTTCTTCCCTTGTTTAATTTCATGATAGTGATTTTAAGCTATTATGTAGTCTGAATTCTTTTTCACTCTTTATTACTCTTCCAGATTTGTCTCATCTGGAGATTTAACAAGCATATGCTTTATGATTTTCTTCAATTAATAGAATTTTAAAGCTGAGAGAGGAACATTAGATCATATGACAACATATTTAGTGACACTCTCCTATCCCCTCATTTTACACATGAGGATTCTGAAATGAGAGAAATGCAGTCACTTGGCCAAGGTAACTTTTGACGACAGTGAGTAGCAGATCCAGGTTATTGGATATCAAAGCCTTGATGCCCAGGCCATCCACGGTACCATCTTTTTCCTTCTATGACTAGAAATTCAGTGCTGTAGTCTCCCAAGTCCAGTGTTGTTTTCACTGCATCCGGAACATCTCCCTTCCTTTGTCTGCTAACCTGGCATTCTTAGCAGCAGCAACAGCAACACACATACACACAAATACATTATTAATGTAGTAACAGTGCAGGTAGTTTTTTTCTTTTTTATTGTTTAAATTATTTTCTTAATTTATTTTTTGCAATTAACAAACATTTAAAAAACATTTTTAAAAGTTAAATTAAACTTGGGGCAGTGCCTGTAGCTCAGTGGGTAGGCACCAGTCCCCTATACTGAGAGTGACAAGTTCAAACCTGGCTCCAGCTAGCTAAAACAGCAGTGGCAACTGCAAAAAAAATAGCCAGGCATTGTGGCAGGCGCCTGTAGTCCCAGCAACTAAGGAGGCTGAGGCAAGAGAATCGCCCTACCCCAAGAGCTGGAGGTTGCTGTGAGTTGTGATGACAATGCACACTACGGAGGGCGACAAAGTGAGACTCTGTCTCAAAAAAAAAAAAAAAATAGTTAAACTAAAAACAGAGGGTGGGGGATAGGGTAAAACTTCTTAGTAAATTCATGCTAATTCCACTTGGTCATACTAATTCCTATTTTAAGTCCTTACACAATGTATATTTAATAATGTTGTCTTTAGGCTCAGCGCCTGTAACTCAGCAGCTAGGGCACCAGCCATATACACCGGAGCTGGCAGGTTTGAATCCAGCCCCGGGCTTACCAAACTACAATGACTATTACTACTCTGTCTCAAAAAAAAAAGAAAAAGTTGTCTTTAATTTGACAAATCATTGTTAAGCTTAGAAGTCAGAGGTTTTAAACTTTTACTTTGTACCCTCTTTAAAATCCAAAACTATAGCTAACTCATCTTTAGCCTTTTTGTCATTATTTTCTCTCTGCTGATTTAAAGGCAAGAAATTACATTTCTATTCTTTTTTATTTTGGTGATTTTAAGTCTATTGTGGGTACCATTAAATTTTTAAGATATTAACTATGTATACACACACACACATATATAACTTTTTTTTTTTTGAGGAAGAGTCTCACTCTGTCATCCCAAGTAGAGTGCTGTGGCATCACAGCTCACAGCAACCTCAACCTCTTGGGCTTAAGCGATTCTCTTGCCTCAGCCTCCCAAGTAGCTGGGACTACAGGCACCTACTACAATGCCAAGCTATTTTTAGAGACCAGGTCTTGCTCTATGCTCAGGCTGCTCTTAAACTTGTGAGCTCAGGCAATCCACCCGCCTTGGCCTCTCAGAGTGCTAGGATTACAGGTGTGAGCCATCATGCCTGACCACCCAAAAAATGTTAGCCATTTTTGATGCTAATGAGACCTCTGCTGTCACTCTAAATGTGGTTCCTTTGTAGATAATCTGGGTTATTGTCTGGGAATATTTAACATTATCTCTTTATCATTGATGCTCTATAGTTTTGCTATAATGTGCCTGGGTTTGGATTTATTTTTATTTATCCTGTTAGGTACTTGGATCCAAGTCTGTCTTCAGATCTGGAAAATTCTCAGCAATTATCTCTTCAAATATTGCTCCTCTACCATTACCTCCATCCTCTTCTGGAATTGCTATTGGATGAATATTGGAACCTTTCAACCCATCCTCCATGTCTCTTAACTGCCCTTTTATATCTTTTTAAAATCTCTTTGTTTCTCTGTGCTGCATCCCTGGTGAGTTTCTCAGTATCTACCTTCCATTTCCAAACTCTTTCTTTAAAAGAAACATAGCATAAAAAACACTTTTCTTGCATTGTGAAATATAAGACACATATAGAAAAATACATTAAACATCAATGTTCAACTTGATGAATTATTATAAAGAGAAGCCTCATGTACTTTGTACCCAGGTCAGGAACCTGCTCTGTGTCCCAGACAGTGAAACCTCCTCCTTTGCCCCCTGAGATAAACACCACTCTAATTTTTATCATAAGCACTTCCTTACTTTTCCTTATGGCTCTGACACTTAAATGTGCAACATTAAACACCAGAGTTTAATCTTGCATGTTTTTAATATTTTATATTAAAATGCAAAATAGAAAGAAAGAGCACATGCATGCATGTCTGAGTCACACTATATATTCCTTGATCTGGCTTCTTTCACTCAACATTTTGTTTATGAGATTCATCCATCCACTTAGATATAGCTGTTTCTCATCCCTTCTCATTGCCATATGAGATCACCACATTTTAGTTTTGTTCAACTTGATGACATTCAAGTTGTTTTCAGTATTTGGCTGTTATGAAAAATGCTACAATGAACATTTTTGTATGTGTCTCTTGATGTAAATGTGTATACCTTTTCTGTAGGAGTAAAATTTCTAGGCCATAAAATGTGTGTATCTTCACTCTGAGTAGATAATGCAAATTGTTTTTCACAGTTGCTATTCCCACTGAATAAATTACTAATTTATTCAGTAAATTATGGGAACACTAATTTACTCATCAGCTGTCTAGACTAGAGTTGATCCCATCTATTGCATTTTTATTTCATTTAATATTTTCATTTCTGGGATTTTTATTCAGTTAGTTTTTACATCCACCGAATTGTTTTATTTCTTTTTTCTTTTGAGTCACAGTTTCATAGCAGTTTATTTGTTTTTAATGGAAGTAATGCCTTAAT